CAAAGGCAAACCAATAAAAAAGAAGTGAACAAAAAACCAATAAAGAAAAGAAACAATAAAAAAATGAATGAAGGCAACCAATAAAGAAAGAAATGAACAAAGGCAACCAATAAAGAAAGAAATGAACAAAGGCAACCAATAAAGAAAGAAACGAACAAAGGCAACCAATAAAGAAAGAAACGAACAAAGGCAACCAATAAAGAAAGAAACGAACAAAGGCAACCAATAAAGAAAAGAAACGAACAAAGGCAACCAAACAAAGGCAAAATAAACAAAGAAAAGAAACGAACAAAAAGAAAGGCAAACAATAAAGAAAAAAGAAACGAACAAAGGCAACCAATAAAGAAAGAAACGAACAAAGGCAACCAATAAAGAAAGAAACGAACAAAGGCAACCAATAAAGAAAGAAACGAACAAAGGCAACCAATAAAGAAAGAAACGAACAAAGGCAACCAATAAAGAAAGAAGTGAACAAAGGCAACCAATAAAGAAAGAAGTGAACAAAGGCAACCAATAAAGAAAGAAGTGAATAAAGGCAACCAATAAAGAAAGAAATGAATAAAGTCAAGCAATAAAATGAATTTGAAAAAAATGAGTGAAGGAAAATAACAAAAAAGAAATGAATCATGGTTAAATGATATAAAAAATGAATCAGTGTTTGTTATACATAAAAAAAGGATATTTAATTAAAACAGTGAAAACTGAGACTGTCATGTATTAGGGAGTCAAGTAGAGATTTTCTTTAATCTTAACATTTCTTATTGCTGCACTAAACAAAAATCTTCAAGTAGATATGTTGATTTTCCATTCATGAACAATTGGAACCTGATAACTATAATGAAGCACCTAAAAGCATCTTGGATAAGTGATTAACATGTTTAGAGCTATTGCTTGACAACACTTTAAGTATTTTTGATTTGGAAAGAGTCAATGTAATTTTGCTATCAAAATGAGACAGAATCATATTTGTTTCAAATACTTGCATGAATGATATCAAAGAATAAGAGGATAGTTACTGATAGAATAAATAGTAAATGGTTTTACAATAGTAAAAAACATGATTTAACCATGATTTTTAATTTAAACAAAAAAAAGTACTTATGGAAACAAATGAAAAAAACAAAAGTAATGAAAGTAATGAATAAAAAAAAACAAAATCGATGAAAAAAATTAGCAAAAAAAGAAACGAATAAAAGATTTTTATCAAAAAAATAAACAAATGAATGAAAGACACAAAGAAAAAAATGAAAGAAAGAGTAAAAGGTGCAAACAATATATAAAGTACAGTGTATGTGTGTTTGAACATGTGGATGTCCAAGCAACTCCTTCATTCCCACTGGTCTGATTTCAATGATTTATATAGCTCATTCAAAAGCCCTAGAAAAGTTAGGCGCAGGGAACAATTTTTGTTGAGCTCAGATTTAGGGTTGCCAGATTATGCAAGGTTAAAGATATATATTAATATATTATATTAGCCATTATTGTTGTTTCCATTGTTCAAGGGGAGTAACTCTTATTTTCTTTTTGTATCCAAAATTGCAGCTACCTTAAAATTTTAATCTAGCTTAAAAGCTGCCCTATCAGGCAGCATTTAAGCTAGTTTCTGTGGAGGGCTCTTGATTTGGCCATCATCATAATTGCTAGGGAGGAGTAGATGCGACAGGCATCAATAAACTACTTAAGTACTCAAAATTGACTGCTGCAATTAAGTACTGCATTAATATTTAAGCTTACCTTTTAAAAGTTCAACAATAATTCTTTTGCCACCACTTAATTTAAAGACAATTTGAGGTATGTAGGTCCTTACTTTCAGTAAAAATAATTATTTTTATTTCATGGGTGACTGTCGCTGGATTTTGCAATTAATTTTGATTATTCTCAAATTTATTTCCAAGTTATAAGAATTGCTATTGTATAAAAATTTGCTGTAATGAAAACTTGGGAATCAAAAATTTCAGGATTGCAGTTCGGATTTGGCGGGGAATATTTTTAATTTGATCACAGATTCAGCCTGATACCAAAATGGTATGATATGTTGGGCTACAGCCTCTAGGAGTAAATTAGAAAACAATTTTATTTTGAAACATTAATTTGACAACAGTAATTTTCTAGTTTGAACATGAGCTATTGAAAATTAGAGAGTTGTGTCCCTTTAATTGTTTTTATCAGTAGTATCCAAGATGGCATAATGCAAAAACAACTGCAGTAATGAAAACTTGGGAATCCAAATTTTCAGGATTGCAGGTCCATATCCAGTTCAGAATGTTTTTAATTTGGTCACGGAGTTGGCCTGATTCCAAAATGGGAAAAGTAAAGTTGTAAAAGTGTGCCATAATGACATACTGACATTCACATTTATTAAATATAGTTTTAAGATATGCTATATTTATGGGTTAAAGTACTCAATATCAGGGATAGAGAGTATGTAAATATAAATGGCCTGATGATTGCATTTAGCATGAAACAAACTGTCACCTCTGGATGTTGCCTTCAATGTCAATAAACACTCGAAGGTGGCTGGGAGGCACAGCAGCTGAAACATTGTGATAATAACAACAAAGATGAGGACATTAATCCAAATGTAAATAATGTAAATAATGCTAACTCCTCATCCCAGAAATTCAGACAGAAATTTTTGAATCGGTACAGACCTGATCTGTTACACCAATGCGATAATAACAACAAAGATGTGGACAATAGTCTGCATGTAAATAGTGTAAATAATGATAACTCCTCAACCACAAATTTCAGACAGAAGGCAATCAAGTGATAATAACATGTAAATGAGGACATTATCCAATGAAATAATGACTCCTCAACCACCTAAATTTCAAATGACAGAAGGGAATCAATGTTCTTCTCCAAGAAATTGGACAAACTATTCTAAAAGAAATGTTGAGAAGAGGCCACCATTTTTGATGAAAGCATTTATCCAATTCTCTTGAGTGAGAAAAGAGAGAAGAAATTTTTAGCAGAAACAGAGACAAGTAATCAATTTCTCTCTAGCTTTTCTCTCATGATTTTAGAAGCGTATTTGAGATTGAAATTTCTGCGTGGGACAAGACAAGAATGGTTACTGGCAGTCGCCTGAGGAAGGAAGCCATAGCATTGAGAAATAAAATAATTTTTTTTTTTTTCCTTGGCTGTTTCAAAGAACGCAGGAAGACAAGTGCAACACACCAGGTCATTAAATCAAAGTTTCTTTTACTGGCAGAAGACAATTGGACAGAATCAGGAAGGCAACTATTCTTGAGTTCACAACTCAAAGGAAAGATTAAATCTTGATTGTCTTATTTCTAGACAGAATTTTTCCTAATGTTTTTCAAGTGCACAAGACCCGCAGGGAAACATTTGCTGTTTAGGCAATGGACAAAATTTATAAAACTTTGAAATTAAAAAACTTTTTTCAGAACTTTCAGTCAAGTATGCTAAAGGTTAAATACCATGAGATTTCTTGGGTTTGATAGTCGAGCTGTCTAGGTAGCTGGCCACTGACCAAGAGTTCTTCCATTCTTTGATAAGACTTATTTATCAGTATCTGTCTATATTTCTGAGATGAGGTATTATGTACATCATTTACATTATTCGGACTATTGTCCTCTTCTTTGTCGCCATATTTATTACAATGTTTCGGCCGTTGTACACGTCAGCCTTCTTCAGTATCTGTCTATATTTCTGAGATGAGGTATTATTTACATTATTCAGACTATTGTCCTCATCTTTGTTGCCATGTTTATTACAACGTTTTGGCCTTTAAGTATCTGTCTATATTTCTGAGATGAGGTATTATGTACACTACTGACATTATTCGGACTATTCTCCTCATCTTTGTCACCATTTTTATTACAATGTTTCGACCATTGTACGCGCCGGCCTTCTTCGGTATCTGTCTATATTTTTGAGATGAGGTATTATGTACATTATTTACATTATTCGGACTATTGTCCTCATCTTTGTTGCCATATTTATTACAACATTTCGGCCTTTCAGTATCTGTCTATATTTCTGAGATGAGGTATTATGTACATTATTTACATTATTCCGACTATTGTCCTCATCTTTGTCGCCATATTTATTACAATGTTTCGCCCTTCAGTATCTGTTTATATTTCTGAGATATTTCCTAAATCTTTGTCGCCATATTTATTACAGGTATTGTATCTGTCTATATTTCCCTAAATCAGGTATTTGTACATTATTATTCGGACTATTGTTTTCATCTTTGTAAGCCATATTTATTACAACGTTCGGCCGTTGTACCCTCCGGCCTTCTTCAGGCCGTTGGAATGTCGAACTGAACCCTTTATTCCACTCACATGACACAGTGGATAAAGGTGTTAGTTAGTACCAGTGACAGGACCCAAAGAATGTGAGTTCAATACCCGGTTAAGGCAGTGGAGAACTTTCAGAGGAAAATTAACAGGAGAAAACTGATGTCCATTAAACATTGTAATAAATATGGCAACAAAGATGAGGACAATAATCCGAATAATGTGAATAATGGACTTATTTATCATCTTACTGGACTGCTAACTGCATTCCTGGTAAAAACTTAAAGTGAGGTAGCCAGTTTAGTTGCTATCCAATAGCATACATATCTGTCTATATCTCTGAGATGAGGTATTATGATTATTTACATTATTTGGACTGTTATCCTCATCTTCATTGCCATATTTACAATGTTTCAGCCATTGTACACTCCAGCCTTCTTCAAGTGATTGGAATTTTAAACTGAACTCCTATTTTGTCCACCAGGGTAGATTGTTCTAGTTCCACGTGCCATGCATCTTCCAGATGTCCCAGTTATTTTCTTTTAACTCAACTCTCCAAGTTTTAGTTCACCTCAAGGTTACATGGCCCAATGGATAAAGGCGTTGGTTACGTCCAATTACTTAGACCCAAAGACTTGTGAGTTCTATACCTGGCTACAGCAGTAAACATTGTTCATGAGATAGAGCTCTTTGTCCGTCCCTTTTGAGAATCAAAAACATTTTACTTACCTATATCGTGGATGAACTTTTCAATTTTCGTCTGCATCCCCCAGTATCGGAATTCTACTTTACACAATTTGTAGGCAGTCATGATGGCTCGCCCATTGCAGGGTCCATTTTTACAGGCCTTTGCATATTCTTCCCGCCAGTTTTCAGACAGTGGGCCACGTTCTGTTTTCAGAGAACAATACAATTTGGGATCTTCTTCTTTCTTGTATTCGCTGCTCGGTACACTGTCCTTCACTATGTCTATAAAATCTAGAAAAAATTAAAAAAAAAAAAAAAAAAAAGTATTAGAGACGCTTTATGGCTGAAACTAGCAAGATAACTTGGTACTGGTCAGGATAAAACTGATTTAAATAATTGAAAATGATAAAACATATGATTGAAACAATAGAATTGTAAATAAAAACTATAAAATATTTTATTTAATGTTGGTGCATGTTTCTGGACTACTGCTTCCTTCATTAGCCATTTGCGTTTATTTAATTTTTAATTCCAAATGTCACAGTACAATACAGATATATAATAAACACTAAATCAAAATTCGTAGAAAGAGAAGTGTTATATGGAAATAAAGTGTCACTGCTGACACTTGAATTTGAACATAGATCGCCAGTGAGCAAACACAAGTGATCCCATTATTGAATTAAGCAGATCATGTAAGCATAGACTAGGAGGTAGTGTGATGTCTAAACAATCCTCATTTCTAGTCTATCCTCTATTACTATATGGGCCACTATTCTCTACTCTATTCACTATATTATTTCTCTACTCTATTCACAATATTATTTCTCTATACTATTCACAATATTATTTCTCTATTTGGATCACTATACAGATTACTATTCGAGTGAGTATTATTAAGCAAGTACTATTAGTGCGAGTGATATTTGAAGGTATCTGACACTAGTATTGTGCAACAGTGTACTATAGTTGTATCTGCAATTACAGTCTCTACTACAACGCGCATTATGAAAGTGACAACAAATATTTGTTGACATTATAAAAGTGGCAATGAGTGTTTGTTGACATCACAAAAAGAAGATAATTCAGTAATTAAAAATTCTTAAAGAAAAAGAGAAAGAATACTAATTCTAGCAATGAAGATATTTTTGATAAATACAAGACCAAATATTTAAATGTTTTAGAAAAAAAAGCAAGCATAAAGTTAAACTAGAATACTTAGATAAAAACAAGACAGACAACAACAGGCGTAAACATAGGAAATGCAATATAATTTGGTTTAAACCAAAATGTCAAAACCAACACCGATAAAAATTTTCCTTAATTTAATCCATAAGTATTTCAACCATATTACAATGCTGAAAAAGATTTTCAACAAAAACAATGTTAAAGTTAGCTATAGATGTACAAAAAACCTCAAACAATATATATTGCACCATAATAATTTAATGCTAAACAAATATTTAAGCAACCTCCATGGTAATAATAATACTAAAAAAAATATAATTGCAGAAAAAACAATACCTGCCCACAAAATTCTAAATGTGCATGTCTAAAGGTATTGTTTATAAAGGTAGCATTAAACATAATATCAAATGTAAATTTTATTTTGGTTTCACTGCAAACCACTGGAAAACCTGATATTTATCAATATAAAATGACAGTTACCAATAGTAAATATTTCAATAACACGGCACTCCCTAATTATACCCCATTAGTAAATTGGGATTACATTGCTAAAACCAAACCCTTTAGTGGCAAGGGGGAAAAATGTAACCCATATGCCTCTTGGAAAAATGTCTCATTCTTAAACACAGTGATAACTACAACTAAACAAATTGAACTTATGACCACATGCATCTCATAGAATAAACTTTCTTCTCTAATATTTTGATTCTGGTTAGCATATTAATCTAGCAATTATTAGAGTCCCCCCTCTACTGACGTCTTTTTTTTTTTTAGCCTTCTCCCTTCCCAGTTATATACCACTTCTCTCTATTATCACATCTTCCCCATATTTATATTTTTATAACCTTTCTCCTCTTAATTCTATATGAATTTTATATTTATATTAACTCCATATTAACTTCATATCCATATTAATTTTATTTTACCTTAATTCTATCTTTCTTCTTCTCCTCTCCTTTTTTTTTTTTATAATAAATTACCTCCCTTGGACCATTATCACCTTCAAATTTAAAAGAACTTTCTATAGTTCAGCATTGCCATTTTTATATTTGTATTTTTATCTTATTTTTTTTATGTGCCATGTCCTTTCAGGATGAAAGTGATCATAGCTCTCTCCACCTCCCTCTATCCCTTGCAGCTCTCAACAAGTTCTTTCCCTCAACCACCTCCCCGAGGCCACATAGTCATTAACTTGCTTAATGCCACTAGGTATGTCATGCATTGTTTTCCCTTGTCTCTCTTTCTCTCTATTTGATCGTGAGCATCAGATTCTCCAAGCTCTCCTTCCTCATTATGTGTCCCAGAAACTTCAGCTGCCTCTTCCTGATGTTAAGTATAAGCCTCCTCCTTGTTTGCATCCTCTCTAAGTCCTTACATTAGCTCTCCACCTCCCTCTATCCCTTGAAGCTCTCAACAAGTTCCTTCCCCCTGCTTCCTCCCCCAGACCAATTTCTGTCATTCACTTGCTTAAGGCCAACAGGTAAGTCACGCGTTGTTTTCCATTGTCCATCTTTCCTTCTATTCGACCCGTGAGTATCAGATTCTCCAGGCCCTCCTTCCTCATCATGTGTCCCAGAAACATCAGCTGCCTCTTCCTGATGTTAAGAATAATCCTCCTCCTTGTTTGCATCCTCTCTAAAACCTCATCATAGTTCTCCACCTCCCTCTATCCCTTGAAGATCTCAACAAGTTCCTTCTCCCTGCTTCCTCCCCCAGACCAATTTCTGTCATTCACTTGCTTAAGGCCAACAGGTAAGTCACGCGTTGTTTTCCATTGTCCATCTTTCCTTCTATTCGACCCGTGAGTATCAGATTCTCCAGGCCCTCCTTCCTCATTATGTGTCCCAGAAACTTCAGCTGCCTCTTCCTGATGTTAAGAATAATCCTCCTCCTTGTTTGCATCCTCTCTAAAACCTCATCATAGTTCTCCACCTCCCTCTATCCCTTGAAGATCTCAACAAGTTCCTTCTCCTTCTTCCTCCCCAGACCAATTTCTGTCATTCACTTGCTTAAGGCCAACAGGTAATCCACGCGTTGTTTTCCATTGTCCATCTTTCCTTCTATTCGACCCGTGGTATCAGATTCTCAGGCCCTCCTTCCTCATTATGTGTCCCAGAAACTTCAGCTGCCTCTTCCTGATGTTAAGAATAATCCTCCTCCTTGTTTGCATCCTCTCTAAAACCTCATCATAGTTCTCCACCTCCCTCAACAAGTTCCTTCCCTCTACTTCATCCTCCAGACCACATTCTGTCATTCATATTAATTCCTTAGTATCTCTTTTCTTTTATTAGAACAGATTCTTCACATCCTTCCTCATTATGTGTCCCAGTTCTGCCTCTTCCTTATGTGAAGACTCTTCTTGCATCTCTTTAGACCTTATCGTTACCCACACGCTAGGTCCATGATATCCTTAGTATCCTTCTATAGAACCACATCTCCGTCGTCTCAAGACTCTTCTTCCTCTTTGAAGAGACCGTCCAACATTTGCTGCCGTAAAGAAGGACAGATGTCACGTAACAGCTCAGTATTCTTTTCTTTATTACCAAAGAAATCCTCCTGTCTCGCAATAATCTGCCTATCTCTTGGAATGTGTCCTTGGCTATCCCAATACATCGATGGATCTCAGTGTACTTTATTGATTAATCACACTATAATTTTGCTTTTATCCCGCTATATTAGATTACACTTATAATATTATTATACATTGAATTAATTTACAATATAACGTTGCCTTCATGAGATCCATAGATTTTCAAAACAAACATATCAAATAGCTAAACTCATTCGTCTTGTATCATATATTCCAATATTCATATTTTTATAGTTTTCCTATTCTTATTTTTAGATTTATTTCATACTAACTCAATATTAACTTTATATTTATTCTACTTTGAATTCTATCTTTCCTCTTTTCTCCTCCTTTTTCTCTTCCTCTCCTTTATCCTCATATGTGTCAAGTTGCACACCCCCAACACGACTGCGTGATCACTGACATTCAAATTTAACAGATTTTCTATTTTTATTTTTTTTATCTTCTTTTATTTTACATTATTTCCTTATCCACACACTATTTTTGGCATTTATACCCAAATATTAAATTATAATTATAATTTTGAACGTTGAACCAATATACAATATAACGTTGATTCCATGAGATTCAGAATTTAACTACAAAGTTCATAAATATTAGTACCTGATGATTGTACACACATGAAACTCTGAGTCATACAAGTCACACAGGTAATATATATATATATATATATATATATATATATATATATATATATGTATGTGTGGGGTGTGTATATATATATATATATATATATATATATATATAAATATAAAACTAATAATCTTATAAATATAAGCAGCTATACTCGTCCAGCAAAACCTTAGGTATTTATGCTTGTAAATGAACAAACCAATACCCAAGGGGAAAAAAAAAAAAGGATAAAAACTAAGAACATGTACTTCCGGTGAAAATAATCATCTAGAATCTAAGTTCAGAGACCAAAGAAAAAAAACCTCCGACACAAGTAAAAGAAAAATAACTAAGCAAAGTGCTCAATACGCTAAGCAGAGCAAACTAAGTAAACCTAAAGAGCCAGACAAACCTACCTTGGTTTCACCTATGCGGATCATCAGGGTAAATTAAGTAGGTTTTTCTGGCTCTTTAGGTTTACTTAGTTTGCTCTGCTTAGTGTATTGAGCACTTTGCTTAGTTATTTTTACTATCTTACTACCTAGGTTTCACCTATGTGGATTGTCAGGGTAAACTGCCAGTTTACCCTGACAATCCAATTAGGTAAAACCTAGGTAGGTTTGTCTGGCTGTTTAGGTTTACTATATATATATATATATATATATATATATATATACACACATAAATATATAAATATTTACATAAAACATCTGGCACCCAGTATAAATCTCACCTTCTTCAGTCACAGAAATAGTATGTTAAATGGTTTTTTTTTTTTCTTTTTTAAATAAAAAGATGTGAACACAAAATCCAGCCACACTCAATTCACAAGACTCGGAATAAACACTACTATTATTTATACATAACAAAAACTATATCTTAAACAGATAAATAGGAAAAG